CAAGAATCCACAAGCTAGTATTTATTGTCATTTAGCAATAATTTAACATCCTGGGCATCAGGAAAGCATAGGTAGCATTTTCTTTATTTCACTGTAACTTGAATTTTAGGGGGGAAAAAAGATTTATATACAGTAACTCAGGCATATATCTGTCAGAGTAAATCTGGAAAATGCATTTAAAGATCCCTGTTGACTCTTGCAGAGGAATTTAGATTCCACACAGGTGCCCATAACTGAAGTGGTCCCAGCTTTTCAGGGATAATATAATGTACATATTGACTTCATGATACTATAGACTGGGCAGCACTGAAGTCAAATACAAGCATCTCAGAATGATGACAAGAGATTAATCCCATACAGTAAGTTATGATAACATATTAGTGATGAAAAAAGCCTAATTAAAGTGAAGGTAAGTTTTATGAATAACACAAAGCATGCTATTTTGTGTCAATTCTTTCTTATATGTGTACACACCTGCACATACATACACACACAGATACAACTAGTAGGATGAAAATTTGAAATGCATATGAAAATTTCTCAGAGGTTTATGACGCATGTACTGATTTCAGAAAACTGTTGGATTCAAGGGAAGAAAATACATATTTCACCTTCTCTTCCTCTCTCCTCCCCTCTCCCCCCCCTTATCTCTTGTTAATGAATAGACTATACCTCTTGCTCTGTGCAATGATCATTGCCCTCCAGGTTCCAGAAAGAAAAGGAAGGAAGGGGAGCCATTTTGTTGCTATGATTGTAATCCATGTGCATCAAGAAAGTTTTCAAATAAGAGAGGTAGGAAACATTGTACTGTAATGTTTGTTTATGTGTGACTGGATGTATACAGAAATGCACACAGGCATATCACACAGAGAACATATCACACACATACAGGTCACCCTCATTATTCATGGGAGCTCCATTCTGGTTGAGCTCCCATATAGTAAGATTGCAAACAACGAGGTCATGAAAAAAATACTTTATGCCAGTGCAGAGGGACAACCATCATTTTGTGCAGGCATATATTAAAAAAATGCATCAGGGGCAGGCATATATTTTCCTACTGCTGATATGTGAAGCCATGGGTAACAGCTTGACTAAAGACAGCTAGTCTGTTGTGTTTTCAAAGATGCTACATCATCACTAATATAAAAGTTTAAATTCAGCACGTAGATAATGGCTCTGATGTAATTAGTTACACTAGAGGAGATGCTATTGAAGTATGCCAAAATTTAAATAACATTGAAAGACATAAGAAATCCTTCCATACAACTACTCTACCCACATTCATGAAGCATTGCTTCCTTTCAGTAGAAAATTTACAGGTGACAGAGAAAGCACGTATAGAGCAAGAAACTCATGTATATAAAATCAGTTAAGTTTTCATATGTGCTGCTTCCATATCTCTCATTTGGTGTAGTGGAGTAGCAAACATGAGAATTTTTTTTTCTGGCTCTGTACTTCTGAGCAAATCGACTTAAACTAACGTCCCGTGAACTAATTCATAATTCAGAACACACTATTTCTGAAGATGGTACACTTTCCCAAATTTTGCAGAAATGTGTATATTTATGGAAATGTGTACAGAATAAATGTTTTAGTGAAAGCTGATTTTAAAAATGAATACCAGCATTGACACAGAGACAGAGAGACTGAACACTTGTGTAAATAGTATGAACTGAAAATTTTTTTGCATAAACTCATTCTTTCTATCAGAGAAATAGCAAAAAATTACAACTATATATAGTGTGTTATACATGTTTATGAAGATGTTTCACGATTTATAAAGTTATGTATAAGATTAACAAATATCCTTCTCAAGCAAAGTCCAGGAGGGGAAAAATGTGAGGAAAAGGGAAAAATGTTTTTTAGCAACATCTGCCCCAGATCACATTCTTTGGTGGGAGTAGTCCTCAATCCTACTTAGTAAGAGAAGTCTTTGGACATGACAAATGTATTCAGTCTTCATAATATTGGTATAGGAGGGGTTCTCTCAAAGCTTCTCAAAAAGAAAAACAAATAATTGTTGACCTCTTGCTTTTTATAATATAAGATTCAGCTTCATAATATTGGTATAGGAGGGGTTCTCTCAAAGCTTCTCAAAAAGAAAAACAAATAATTGTTGACCTCTTGCTTTTTATAATATAAGATTCAGCTTCATAATATTGGTATAGGAGGGGTTCTCTCAAAGCTTCTCAAAAAGAAAAACAAATAATTGTTGACCTCTTGCTTTTTATAATATAAGATTCAGCTTCATAATATTGGTATAGGAGGGGTTCTCTCAAAGCTTCTCAAAAAGAAAAACAAATAATTGTTGACCTCTTGCTTTTTATAATATAAGATTCAGCTTCATAATATTGGTATAGGAGGGGTTCTCTCAAAGCTTCTCAAAAAGAAAAACAAATAATTGTTGACCTCTTGCTTTTTATAATATAAGATTCAGCTTCATAATATTGGTATAGGAGGGGTTCTCTCAAAGCTTCTCAAAAAGAAAAACAAATAATTGTTGACCTCTTGCTTTTTATAATATAAGATTCAGCTTCATAATATTGGTATAGGAGGGGTTCTCTCAAAGCTTCTCAAAAAGAAAAACAAATAATTGTTGACCTCTTGCTTTTTATAATATAAGATTCAGCTTCATAATATTGGTATAGGAGGGGTTCTCTCAAAGCTTCTCAAAAAGAAAAACAAATAATTGTTGACCTCTTGCTTTTTATAATATAAGATTCAGCTTCATAATATTGGTATAGGAGGGGTTCTCTCAAAGCTTCTCAAAAAGAAAAACAAATAATTGTTGACCTCCTGCTTTTTATAATATAAGATTCAGCTTTAAAAATCAAAGCTGCTTCCATCCTTCAACACATTGTACAGGTATTTTGATAGATGGAAAAGCTTATGTACAGTATTAAGAAAGCAGGAGATACTTTAAGAGAGATGTGGAGAAGTTGTGTGTCAATGTTGCTGGACTACATGTTCCAGCACTTCTGGCTAGGAGGGTTAAAGGCAATGAATGATGAGAGTTGTTGCGCATCCAGTTCCAAGAACCATAGGTTTCCCACTGGTGCTTTATGACATTGGATGTTTTCAATTAATAAATACTTCTCAGTAGACAGAAGTATGCAACATTTGAAATAGTGCTATGAATTCTGAAATAAGTATTTTCACAGATATGGATGACTGCTTAGACTGTCCAGAACAACAATATCCAAACAAGGAAAAAACCCTATGCATTCACAAAGTTCTAATTTTTTTGTCTTACAATGAAACTTTAGGCATCACTTTGACTGTTTTGGCTCTGTCTTTTTCTGTGACCACAGCAGTGGTACTTGGAATTTTCATAAAACATCGGAATACTCCCATTGTCAAAGCCAACAACCAGAATCTCACTTATATTTTGCTTGTTTCACTCTTCCTCTGCTTCCTCTGTTCCTTGCTCTTCATTGGTCAGCCCCAATTACTGACTTGTCTTCTCCGTCAAATTGCTTTTGGGATCATCTTCTCAGTTGCTGTTTCTTCAGTTTTGGCCAAAACCATCACAGTGGTTCTAGCTTTTATGGCTACCAAGCCAGGATCAAAAATGAGAAAATGGGTGGGGAAAAGATTTTCAAACTCTCTGGTTCTCTGTTGTTCCTGCATTCAAGTAAGTATTTGCATATTATGGTTGTGTACTGGCCCTCCATTCCCAGATTTGGACATGCATTCTCTTCCAGAAGAAATTGTAGTTGAATGCAATGAAGGATCAGGCAACATGTTCTATTATATTCTAGGATATATGGGATTTCTGGCTCTCATCAGCTACATCGTGGCTTTCTTTGCTCGGAAGCTGCCAGACACTTTTAATGAAGCCAAATGTATTGCTTTCAGCATGCTCGTGTTTTGCAGCGTGTGGGTGTCTTTTGTCCCAACGTATCTCAGCACCAAAGGAAAATACATGGTAGCTGTGGAGATCTTCTCCATTTTGGCTTCCAGCATTGGAATATTAGGATCTATCTTTTCCCCTAAATGCTACATAATTGTCGTGAGACCAGAACTGAATACAAAGGAGCAGCTAAAAATGAGAAACTAGCAATAGCTGAAATCCCATAATGTAGAAGAATTTAGCTCCGGCCTTGAGAAGAAAAGGGGAGAGGTAAAATGTTGCTTAGTCATGAGAAAGTAGAAAGTGCAAGAAAGAGATCTCAACCTCGCTATCCTTAAAAAGGGGAAAGTGGATGTTTTGGAGTGGCTTTCAAGTGTCTGTTAATATACCCTATAACAATAAAGTAGTATTCCTGGCATCCTGTGGTGTCAGTTTTTTGACCTGACCTACTTCAAAAGGTTGACACACCATTACAAAGTAAACATAACTGATTATAGTATTTCTCTTTAAGAACTTCAACCCAATGCATCTTGTCTTCTGAACAATAATGTAAAGACAAGATACTGTATTTATCTCACTGTATAAATTGTATATTTAGAAACACTTTTATCCTCCATTTCACACTGTATATCCTCTAATTAAAAAAGTTCAACTATGACTGCTGTTTATTATGACTGCTACAGTGAAAGCCACACTGCTAACCATTGTGTAAAGTTAAAGCTCACAATATGTAGAAACCCAAATACCTTTTGTTGCAATTCACACAGTGAAAATATAATGTATAATGTGTGTGTAAGGGGAAAGAGCAATCCTTCTGAGTGTCTGGGGAAGTGACAAAAAAAAATTGGTCAGCTGGCTAGAGCATGCTTGCTGGGGAATTCTAGGAGTTGAAGTCCATACAACTTAAAGTTGCTGAGATTGAGAAATGTTGGGCTAGGAAATTTCAGACTACATTCGTTCATGTGAACCTATAGCAGGCTAATACATTTCAACCTACCAGAATTTTTGGCCAACCTGCTTCACAAAGGGGTGGGGGTAGGTGCCAATAATAGAAAACAAAAATCATTTATCAAGGTTAAAATAGCTGATTTATTTATACCTAAAATAGAAACTATTTGCAACTAGGGACCCCATGCCCCTTTCCCAGCCAAGTATCTTTTTTAAAAAGATAATTTTATGAGATTTTTGGGTCATGTTAAAAAACTATGTTAAGTACTGAAGAATTTAATACAAGATATGTAATGGATGGAGTTAAAGGACTATGCATTCCATCATGTTATTCCTTCAATTGATCAATCAAGGATGCCTATGGGAAGTTTAAAGATGGACATGACCATGTCCTTAATGATCAACCTCAAGAACCATCCTGATTCTAGTCCTGGAGGTACGATATTCACCTCCTGCGTAGCAGCCATTGATAAGCTTATCCTCACTTTTCCAGACTGCTCTGCATGGGTTTCTAAGGTACCGGTCATCACAAGACTAGGTTTTAAGATTAATAATCAGAAGGTGAAGAAGCTGACAAAAAATATGAAAACAGAAGGTCAAATAGAACTGATGGAGAAAACTGGTTTTAAAATTGAGAAAAAAGTAAAATACTTGGGTATTATCATAAAAAAACATGAATTGTATGTTATTTCAAAATAAATATGTTAAAACAAGGAGTGAAATTAAGAAGGACATGTTAAGATGGCAGAAATTAAAATGTCACTGTCAGGGAGAATTTATATGATAAAAATGAATGTATTTCCTAGAATCATGTTCTGTTTCAGACAATACCTGTTTTGACAACTGATGTACCATTCAAGCAATGGCAAAAGATATATTTAAATTTGTACAGGGAAAAAAACCACAAGTTAAATATAATATGTTACAAGATGCAAAGGAAAGAGGAGGATTTGGTTTACCAGATTTGAAATTGTATTTCACAGCTTGTTGTTTGGTCTATCTGAAAGAATGTGTGTTGCTGAGAAACAAGAGACTTTTTGAGTTGGAAGACCATGAGTTATGGTATGATAAAGTTAAAATTAATATAGATTTTAAAATCATTTTGTTAGACATGCCATATTGAGAATATGGAATAGATATAAACCCAGGCTGTGCCTGAAAACACCTCTGTGGATCTCAGCACAAGAAGTATTCTATAGAAGAGAAACAGCAGGCAAAGACAAATGGTTAATGTACCATTAATTATTGGAATATAAAATTAAATCAAGACAGCAACTCATGGGAGAAGGATATAGTTGTCAATGGTTTTCCCACTTACAGTTATCAGAAAGTTTCAAAACAGATTAAAAAATCTATGATAGAGAGCAAAGAATTTGGTATAGAGCAACCAAATTTGAAGAACAATTGTGTACCAATGATGAACATGTAATTGCTAAAATGTATAAACTTTTGTTGAAATTTAAAACAGAGGAAGAACAGGTTAAAGAATGTATGATAAAGAGGGCTCAGAATTTTAGTTATAGTATACAGATGGATCAATGGGAAAATATGTGTTGAAAAAGGTTGAAATTGACAATGCGTTATGATCTCAAAGACAACTTTTGTAAAAAAATTTAAAACAGAGGAAGAACAGGTTAAAGAATGTATGATAAAGAGGGCTCAGAATTTTAGTTATAGTATACAGATGGATCAATGGGAAAATATGTGTTGAAAAAGGTTGAAATTGACAATGCGTTATGATCTCAAAGACAACTTTTGTAAAATGTTGTATCATTGGTACATGACACCAGAGAAATTGTTCAGAATGTGTAAAGGCATTTCAAATGTATGTTGGAAATGTGAAAAACATGCAGGAACATTTTATCATGCTTGGTGGGCATATACATTTAAAAAAAAAAAATGGGTTCAGATACATACATTGATACAGAAGATTTTAAAGATTAATATTCAACTGAAGCCAGAACTTTTTCTCTTAGGATTGGTGGATAAACAGTTAGAAAAAAGCCACAGAAGTTTATTTCAATATACAATGACTGTGGTGAGAATACTATATGCACAAAGAAGATTCCTCATTACCCACCATAAAGGAATGTTTGGTGAAATTGACAAAACTTCCTTTGATGGATAAACTGACTTCTTTGATTAGAGAAAGAACAATATCTACGTTTATTGGTGACCTTAAACCCTTTATGTACTTTTTGCGTAAATATGAAAAAAAAATGACTTTGTGATTTATGGTTTTGATGATTAGACAAGATAGATTATAGAAAGAGTATTATGATGTAACTTTAGAAAAAAAGGTTCAGATATAATTGTACTTATAACTGCTGTGAAGAATATCAGAAGCCATTTCTTTATACTTCTGTATCATTTTTATATCTTTTTCTCTTTTTTTCTACTTTTTTTCTTATTGCACTTTGAGCTTTTTCTTTTATTTCTCTGTTTCCTTTTCCTTTTCTCTGTTGTATTTTAGTTAATATTAGTTTTTACTATTGCTGCTAAAACTTTCAATGAATATATACAAATGCAAATACGTACATACAGATTCATACAATATATATACAAGTCCATTTCCTTGATGCCACAGTAGAACTACACAATGGACAAAAGGACACCATGTTATGCAGGAATCCTATACATTGCCATGCATACCTACATGCTTTCAGCTTCCATCGAGAACACACCACTAAATATATCATCTATAGCCAGGCTACATCCTACAACTGCATTTGTTCTGGCCCACTTGAGAGAGATACTATACTCAGTTGGTAGAATCCAAGCAAGCATTCAAGAGACTGAGCTACCTACCCAACAAAATCAACAGACAAATCAATAGATCCAGATTAATTCTAGGGAGGACCTATTAAAAGACAGATCACACAAAAAAAAAAAAAAAAAAACAGAAAAAATTAATTTAGGGGGGGCACAAATAAAAAAAAGAACAAAAAAAAAAAAAAAAAAAAACCAGAACAATGAATATCACCAGTTGTTACCTACAGCTCACTGCTCAGGTCACTAACACATTATTAATAACCTACAGCCAGTACAATACAAATGCAATGACACTGCACTTTCTCAGACCCATACTTGTGTACAGACAACTATCCAGCTTGTGATATATGGCACCATCAGCCAGCAATGCTCCTCTAGATTCCACATCAACAGACCAGACTTTGTGCGAATGAATGAATGAATATATCTCTAACTCTATCTCTATCTCTATCTCTATCTCTATCTCTATCTCTATCTCTATCTCTATCTCTA